GCCTTCACCGCTTGATTTGTCAAGTGAGGGATTTCCGACGAAGTGCTATATCCCTCACTTGACAAATCAAGCGGTGAAGGCACACCGTCTGCCTCTAATGGAACCGGACACCCAGTGAACACTCGGACAGAGCATTGGGACCAGAAGATCCAAGCATCTTTAATCCTAGACCCATCAGCCAGAACCGTATCGTCAAGCTTTATACAAACATTCCCCACTAAACGCCAATGCTTGTCCCCCAAAACGCCCATACCAATGCGATTAGCTCGAGTAGCTTTGCATATCCAAGCCCTCCATGTATACACCTCAGCCATCCGCAATGAAACTCGTGACCCGGGGTCAAATCTACCGTCCCCGAGCAATATCCCTAGTCTCCTTCTTCTTCTTCAGATACGCACTAATCTGCTCCACCTGACTGACAAAGAAACAGCGATTCGCGTCGTTCTGCCACACCAGCACACCCAGCGCACCCGCATACCCCAGCACATCCCTGTACTCTGATTCGGAGCCGAATTCGCGCATCAAGTACCCCGTCGTAGTCTCCACACGCTCGCCTTCGTATTCCCAAAGCCGGATCTGGTCCATGACCGTAGGCGGGATGTAGGGAATTGTCTTCTGCATCTGAGGATGCGCGTAGGTCGTCAGATAGGAGATGATTTGGCTCGACGTGATGCCTGATTGAACAGCTTTGTGGACGGATTCTTTGGTGAGTTTGCCGGAGACGAGGTTGGGGAAGCGATGTTGAAGTTTGGTGAAGAGGGATAAGATGGCGATTTGGATGAGGCTGTTTGTGTAGGCGTAGAGGCGATAGTTTGTTTCGATGATGATGAAGCCCTTGTTTGCGGATGCCGAGGGGCCGGCGTTGCCTTGGGAGGCTTGGGCGATGTCGTTGGAGGAGGCGGACATGGCGCTGCCGGAATCTGAGGTCAGGGTTGTGGCGAGGCGCGTGGGGTAGAAGGTTCGCGCGTTCTTGTCCGAGCGGTAGACAAGGCCCATGGAGGAGAGGTCCTCGAGCATCTGAGATTGGGTGGGGGAGAGCGTGGATGTGGAATAGTCTTGGCCTAGTTCTAGGGAACCAAGCATGAAGAGGAAGGATAATACTTCGGTTTCGGACATGCCGAGCTGGGGGTCGAGGTCAGATTCGGTGTTCGTTGGCGCCGGCTGAGCTCGAAGAGGACAGTCGTCGCAGGGTTCGTGGGGTTCAATACTTACTTCGTTGGTCATTTTCAGGTAGACAATGAGCAGACTCCAGACTTGGGCGTTCGTCTCTTGCAGCACAAAAGAGAAGCCGTCTTTGGTAATCCTTGGACTTCCATGTACGGTCCTCACAAGGTCACCGGTATGTAGCAGCTTCTTCGTTCCAGGACCGACTTCTGCTCTCTCGATACTGTCTCTGCTAAGTCCAGCCGCGCCGCTCACCAAGTAATAGAGTATACCCTCCCATTGCGATCGCGAGTATTCGTCGAGGAAGTCGATGCTTAACCGCTTTCCGCCGCTCTCTTCTCTGGTCGCCGGCACACCGAACGAGCGGTGGGTACCGGAGCCCTCGAGGGCGTTCCGCAGGCTGCCTTGAAAGTCTTTGCTGAGTGTCCACGAGAAGGTACCGTCGTCCTGTTTAGCAGGGGCAATGATGTGTAGGCGTTCGAGGGTAAAGAGAGCCTGTTCCTTCTCTTTCCTAGCGGAAGGCTTGAACCAGGCGTCCATGTCGGCTACGGGGAAGGATGAGGGTCTGTAGAGCATCGCAAAGACTATGGATTTGGCTGTGGCTCTGTTAGCGACAGGATTGCGGACGTAATAAATGCACTCACCAAGATGCGGAAGCATGCAGCGGAGCACCGCCAACACGGTGGAAGGCTGCTCATACAGCCGCCGGTGTGTCGCGACAGGCAGACCCTCGAGGTATTCCAGCGCCTGAGATGAAGATGAAGCCGACATCGTGGGGGATGTGGAGAGGAGGATGTCGGTCTACCGCCGTATTATCATGTTCGGAGAGAAAGGGTCCACGAGTTTGGGCGGTAGCGACGCGTGGGTCGCGCAAGTGGAAGTCGCAGGTCGCCAATCGCCAAAGAAAGTTGATGACGCGCCGAGCGAGCGGAAAGCTCACCCCACAAATTCCGCTCCACCCTGGTCTAGCTTCCGAGGTACGTGGGCAACTGCCGAGCGGAACATCGACATCACTCTTCGCACATCGCGGGGTGAGCATCAATCATGCCGGCGCTGAAGTTTGTGAGATCTGTGAGTTAACCAGCCATGCCATTGACCAACCTTATGGATTTTCTAACGTGTCGCTAGGTCTGGGAGTCGTTCCGAGCGAACTCGGGCCTGGAGCCAAGGTACCATCAGCACCTAAGCATGTAGACACGAAGCTGATAGAAGCGACACGAAAGACTACTAGACGGTGTAGGTTATGAGAGTTCATAGCTCTGGTACGTTATCATGCTAACACCAATTCTAGCTCCGAGTGACCTCGGCAGTCCCAGGCCGCGTCAAGTTCGAGCTAGACATCCAGAAAGAGCACACAGTTCGTGCTGTCCCACCTATCATCTCCTACGATGTTCTCGAAACTCACTTAACGTAGAACCGCCTCAACATCCTCCACGGCGGCACAATAGCTAGCATGGGTAAGCCGTTCCTCCCAAAACCCCCCACTCAAACACCAGTATCTCACAACCCCACCCAGTCGACCTCGGCGGCTCCCTCGCAGTAGCATCCCGTGGCCTCTTCGCGACAGGTGTATCCACCGACCTAAACGTAACCTACCTCTCCTCAGGCGGCAAGATTGGCGACTTGATCAAGGCTGAAGTAACGTGTGATAAGTGTGAGTCCATCATGTTGGCATCTCTTCCTCAAGATATGCAGTAGCTGATTACATAACTCCAGTCGGCAAAACACTCGCCTTCACGTCCATCAACTTCAGCAACAACAAGGGAGAAGTCTTCGCACGAGGAAGCCACACCAAATACGTTGCGTTGGCGTGGAAAGATCCCAACAACATCGTCGAGGAGCTTTCGCCTAAGCCTGAGAAGAAGGAGTAGAGGCACAAATACACCGGATATGATGGGTCACCGCGCATATCTTGTGGGAGGATACGATGCCTGATCATAGCACTATGTATACATTCGTCTGGTCCTGGACTTAGTCGACAGGCTTGGGCTTAGCGGTCCGGGGACGAAACGCTCTTGAAAATCACTTCGAATTGTTGGGAGACCTCATCGTTCGATCTTCCAACAATTCGAAGTAATTTCCAAGAGCGTTTCGATCTCGGATTGCTAAGCCCAAGCCTATCGGATAAGCCGTTACAGACCGCGGGCAAACAAGGGCTTACTGATTTGTGAATAATGTACGTGTGAAAGCTACAAAAAGCTTTAAACGTCGTGTCGATGCATCAATGTACATATGTCATGCTCACAGCAGTTAACGCCTCGGTCAATGACTATCGCCGGTTCTACTCAAGCCGTAATGTCGACTAAGAATTACATTACTACCTCTTTGTGGATATCTAACAATGCATGCTTCCCGTGCAGATCACAAAATTGATGTCTTGACGTTCTCATGCCATGCACAGTGTCTCAAACTCTCGCGCTTTCTTTTTGCCATCGTTGTGTCTCGTAACATCCTTTACTCTTTGCAGGTTTCACATGATCGTAACCTCATCGTCAACTTCCGTGTTCTCGTCCAGGTCGTAACGTGGCCGTCCACCTTCCACAACCTCCATCATCCTGGTAGAGTTATGAACCATCCGAGGACGTCTCCTGGTTCCGCTCAGTCGAGTCGTCGGATTTGTTCCAGCCCTTGCCCTTCATTAGGTTGATCAGGCTAGCCTTGCGTGGGGTCAGCTTCCTTACGGCCCGTCCAAAGGCTCCAGCTCCTGCAGAAGTCGTGTTGTCGTCGTGCTTACGGAATGACATCGGCGGAAGGTCTGCCGGATTGCCGAGCAGTTTATGCTCTCTCCTGTATTTGTACTCGAACTCCTGGGCGTAGTCAGTATAACGGATTCAGAGTCATGGCGCAGATGGAACGTACCCAAAGGCTATCTGCTGCTTGATCGGAAGCGCACAGGTCGCGCAGTTGTCCGAGTATGTAGCACGCCGCCAGCTTGTCTTGATTCAATTTGCATTCTCCCAAGAGGCCGGAGGTTTGATGGGCAGGGTCAAGTTCAGCTTTCATTGCATCGGTACGCCATTGATCGTATCGAGACTGGAATCTTCCAGCCCAGTAAAGCGGCGGCATATAGTCTTTAACCTGGAAGATCTCATTGTCAGCAACGTCGGGATTCTTTTGCCCATGTCTACTCCACAATCGGCTGGAAGGATAGGTCCAGACGTTTCCAGTGGTGTTTGATGCTCTGATCGGGAGTCTGGTTGGTACTGGGGGGAACGCCGCCAGACTGAAACTAGATTCGGTGAATTTCATTGATGACACAAGGCTTCGTCCAGGCTGACAAGGTGTATATGGCGGCGTGACACTCAGTCTTTCTTCGTCCGTCTCCTCGGGTATCGACTCGCACGAGCTCGCGTCTGATCTGACCCTGACATGTTGAGACGGGACAGTGCTCTTCGGATTCATGCATGCTGACTGGACCAAGCTCGACAAAGACGCTGTCCTGTACTGCTCCGGGATGCGAGGCACTGGTGGAGCGACTTCCAGGTGGCTTCCAAAATTATGGAAGGTTTGGGAACGTGGAAGTCTGCTCACCTCATGTGTAGTCATCGCCAAAGCATGGGATGACCGCCAGACGCCGCCCAAACCATTTGGTGTTCCTAGCGTTTTCCTTTGCTTTTCTCTGTCCGTGGGCAACCGGGGAAGGGCTGGCCTGGCATTGTCGCTCGCATCTGGAGTAGGTGTTGGAAGCTCGGTGTTCCGAGACTGTACAACTGCAGATTGCGATACCGAGGGTAGTGCTGCTGGTGTATCTCTTTGTTCCTCCGACTGTATCCGCTTTACTGTCACTGGCGTCTGCTGTGCAAGCTGTGAGCTCATCCTCTTTCTTACTGTGGGTGGAGTCGCGAAGCTAGGCTCCCTGCTCTGTGAATATTGTAGTCCCGGACCAAACGACCTTCTACTGTTCAGAGTACCGGGCACTGCAAGTGATTCCCTCTTCAGCGTCCTCTCTTGTATCTGCGACCGCCTGTGTGATATACGTCTGTCCGTCGGTATATTCTCTTGCAGAGGCGGCCTTTGAGCTACTGGTGATACCACAGACATCTTAGGTCCTGGCCGCCTGGAAGCCATATATCGCGCCGACTGTGGCCCGTTGGCTGTTTTGACGAGATTTGGTGTCGTACGTGAGCGCAACTGATAGGAATGCTTCACCGGAGAGCCATTGTTTGCGGCCGCCAACGCGTGGGCAGTCGCGATGTGTTTGATCTGTTGAGAAGCGCGGTACGAGACGTGTTGTTGAACGTGTTGACGTGGACTAGAGCGACGACGCTCTAAGGATGGCGGACTGGGAGTAGGAATCTTCGAAGGTACCGAATCTGGCTCTGATTGAGGCATTACCGCGAGGGAATGGGACTTGACTGCGCCTTCTACGTCTGCGGCGAACGACTGAGGCTCTACCCTAACCGGGAGCGGGATGAAGCTCAGCGTACGCGATCGAGGCAGTGGCTGCGGTGTGGTATCGGTATCTGCGCTTTTGGGTAAAGTCTTGCTGAACGGGACTGTTGCGGACTCTTCGGTCGCATCGTTGGAGTGGTTGGATGGCGCAGAAACACGCATTGGCGAAAGCGCAGCTTCGGATACAATATTTTTTGTAGTAATGTCGGTTGCAGATGGTTGAGTAACAGCCAATGACGGCACATTCACTTGATGACGTCCCGGGGTCGTCCTTCGCTGCGAGAGGGGATTTGATATGAAAGCGAAGCCATAGCTGAGCTTTCTCCGGAATTTGCTGCTGCTGTTTTCTTGAGGCTCGCCACCCACCGGGAGGTGAGTTGTCGATTTCTCTCTCCAGCCCACCATCGCCGCTGCTCCGTCTCCACTTGGCTGAGGCGTCTCCCACCGCGCGCGAATCTGCTCGAATCTGTGTCGATCTGAATATGTTAGCATGGCTGGAGCGTGGTGTGCAGCGTTTGTGGGGAAGAAAGGCTTACCCGCGGAATGTTGTTGTGGTGGATGATGTTGTCCGTGAGGAGGTAAACAAGGAAGGCACGAAGCAGCCACCTTGGATTAAGAACAACGTCATGGAACGAAAAGATGCAGTCGTGACCAAACGACAGGAAGGAGCAACTGCAAACGCCCCCGAACTGCAATCGTGTGGGCTCTTGGCGTAGAGCCGCCCGTATGCTTGACACTTTCCACGCGTCTCTAGTCAACAGACATCTGCATCGGAGTTTGCATCCTCTGTTCGACCAACCTGAATTTGTCCTGCACCTGACTGATACCACGACATGGAAAAATAAGGGGGATATTGAGACAACAAGACAATGGGTATTCAAACATTGAAAAGCACAAACCTAAGACACCATGCTATGCTATGCAACCATTCCCTTAAACAACACCGAAGATGTTATTACCCGTCTCCTTTACTCCGAGTCACTGTCAATGACAAAGCCAGCCCTCATATTGCGCGCCGCCGCTGGTCTACGTGCTACCGGTGCATCATCTTCATCGTCGTCCGTATCTGCGTCTGGCATCGTAGCATCCGTGCTCTTCGTCGCAGCATCACTCACTGGCTTCCGGGGCGTATCCGCATCACTAAGTGCTGCTGTTGCCCCAGCGTTCTGCGATGAAAGCGGCGTGTCTGTAGTTTCGTCCTCATCCTCATCTTCCTCCTCATTGCCATCAACCACGGAAGGAGCTTGGCTGCTCTCTGCACCTTCCATATCGTCGTCACTATCGGCGAATGGCGCTTTCCGTTTCGGTGGACTCTTTCTCCTCTTGCTCTTCTTGGCCGGTGCATCAGCTTTTCGCTTCTTGGATGCTACTGGCTCCACGGTTCCAAGTACAAGCGACTTCTTGAACACTTTCATGTTTTCCTCGCGGATTGCCTGTTCTCGCGCGAAGAAGGCGGCATCCTTCTCGGCGTCCCAGTCCTCGTCGTCTGAGTCGTGCACGTACATGGTACTCAATGCTTTGGCCTGCTTCTCGATTTCCTTCTTGCGACGTGCCTCGGCTCTGCGGTCCTTTTCTTCGTCGTCAAGCTCCACGGCACTATTCCTTCGGCGTCGTCGCTTCAGCGTCTTGCGAGGGGCGTCTGCATCTCTCTCAGTGGGACCACCCTTAGCGTACTCTCCGTGGTCCTCTTCCTCGTCGCGGTCTATGCCGTCAGAGTCATCGTCAAACTCGGCCCGACGAGTGGAGCGTCGAGCTGCTGCAGCCTTGCTACGAAGCAAGTCTTCTGGCGCTTTGCCGTCCTCATATGTTGGGGGATCGAACTCATACTTGCGAATGAGATCTATGGCTTCTTGCAATTGCGTTGAAGTAAGTGATGCAGGTATGATCCATGAAGCGTCCGGATCGTGGTGTTCTCCTAATCTCTCGAAGCCGACCAGGTTCATGAGCAGTCGTAGTTTGTTGTCTTTGAACATAGCGACGCGACGTTCTTCGGTATCGTGCTTGATGACTAGACTCGGTTAGCAGACTTCCTCACAACGAGAGGGATACTTACAGATTGATGGCGGCTTAGAGGTTTCAGTGTCTGGGTTCTCAGGTGCCTCGCCTTCTGGACGCTCCTCTACGTCGGCCACCAACGCCTTTTGTGCTTCAGCGGCCTCTTCCCACGCCTTGCGCTCTTCAGCTGCCGATGTAAGCACATCGCGTACCCAGCGGAGAGCATCCGACTTTGACTGATTAACAAGAACACCAACAGCGACACCAATCTGATCAGGTAGCTCCATTCCAGGTTTGACCTCAAGCTCTGCCGGAGCTCGTGGCGCTCGAGTGTGTATCTCTCGATCAAATCCGTGCTCGAGGAAGAAGATGGTTGCAGGGATCTTGTCAAACAGCATCTCGACTACCAGTTCTGGCCTCTCTTGTACTCTCTTTACAACCTGCCTGAAGAAGTGTTTGACAAAATCATCCCACTCTCTGTAAG